TTGTTGTTTTTGGCAGCCCCGGGCTGGATTTGAACCTGTCACCTTAGGTATATGTGGCTGGCGCCTTAGCCACTTAAGCCACAGGCGCCAAGCCTCCCCCCCAAAAATTAGTGTCATTCTATATAATTAAAGGAAGCTGAAATATTCAAAGTAAACTGCTAAGTACTAAAGACATCCTAAAGGGAAATTAATAAATACTAAACAAAAAAAGTTCTAGTTACAAAGATAGTAAATTAGATGTACCATGAATTACATACAAAAAGAAAAGTTGTTTTTAACTAAAGAATCTAACACATCCTGCTTTAATACTATGTAACAAAAATAAAGTATCCTGTGACTCAGCAGTGCATAATAAAATTAGTAATAAAAGCAAATTTCAAGTAAAAAAATGGTAATGCTAAAATTTCTTCACTCTACTAGCTCATCTCATTTAAAAGATACAATTTTACCATGTGGCTTTACATATATTACCTCTAAATATCATATATAAATACTTTATATTACTTCCTACTTATAAATTTTAGTTAGTAGGTAATACATTTCTTAAAATACAAAGAACTTATGAAGAACTTTTGTCTATTATAAAAGTTTTCATACCAAAATGAGGATGCTTCCCAACCTTTTCAGAGAAATTACAAATTAAGAGATCAGCCATGCAATTCTTACAGTATTTGAGAAGCATAAAGTATTTTAGTTTCATAATGATTACTTTATCCTTTCATAAAATTTTCAGAAATAGGAAATTACAGAATTTTCAGAATATGAAATTACATAAAGTCAATTGTACATAAATTCAACCTTTATCTTTGAAAAGTTTCTCATTAATAGAAAACTCACCTCGTCTTTCCATCTAGGACATTTACTTTGTTAACATGAATGCTTTCTACAAGAACCATGTCATTCTGATTTTCATGCATTCCACATTCTGAAACTTTAGAGGAGGTAACTTCAACTTCAGTTCCAATTTGAGAATCTGACTGAAAAGACGAAAATCATAAGTACAATTTTTTGTTAACAGAAAGCCATACATCTTAAAATATTTCAATCATTAAGAAATATGTTTTCTTTTTTTTTTTTTGCTTTTTGTTTTTGAGACAGTCTCACTTTGTCACCCTCGATTGAGTGCCCTGGTGTCACAGCATACAGCAACCTCCAACTCTTGGGCTTAAGCAATTCTCTTGCCTCAGCCTCCTGAGTATCTGGGACTAGAGGTGTCCACCACAACCCCTGGCTTTGTTGTTGTTGTTGTTGCAGTTGTCACTGCTGTTTTAGCTGGCTAGGGCTGGGTTTAAACCTGCCACCCTGGGTATATGGGGCCGGCACCCTAGCCACTGAGCCACAGGTGCTGCCCAAAATATGTTTTGTTTTTAAAATTAAGATTCAGACTAGGGCCAGGCATTGAGGGCCACACCTATAATCTCAGCACTCTGGGAAGCTAAGAATGGAGGACAGCTTGAGGTCAGAAGTTGGAGACCAGGCTGAGCAAGAGCAAGAACCCATTACTACCAAAACTCAAAAAATTAGCCCAGTGTGGTAGCACCTGCCTACAGTCTAAGCTACTGAGGCAGGAAAATCATTAGAACCTAGGAGTTTGAGGATACAGTGAACTATGATGTTAGAACTCCATTCTACCCTAGGTAACAGAGCAAGACTCTTAAAAAAAAAAAGATTCAGACTGGATATATTTTTGGTAGTAAAATACTGATATTCTGCTGCCAAAATAAGAATCCCTACCTCAGAGAGAAAGTTTCAAAGATTATTGCAGTAGTATGTTTACATAATGCTTTAAAAGCTATTAACACTCGCCCGCTGTGAATTAAAAAATAAGTGGGCACACTGGCTTTTGCCCATAATCCCAGTGATCAGGGAGGCTGAGGTGAGAGTCTGCAACAAGACTGGGCAATCTGGCAAGACTCTATCTCTAAACAAATAAGAAAAATTAGCTGAGCTATGTTTCTTCCATTGCCTTCCAACCTAGGAGAGACATGGTAAAATAACAATGATAAAAAAAAATAGGCTTGGCGCCTGCAGCTCAAGCAACTAAGGCGCCAGCCACATACACCCAAGGTGGCGGGTTCGAATCCAGCCCAGGCCCACCAAACAACAATGATGGCTGCAACCAAAAAATAACCAGGCGTTGTGGCGGGCGTCTGTGGTCCCAGCTACTTGGGAGGCGGAGGCAGGAGACTCGCTTGAGCCCAGGAGTTGGAGGTTGCTGTGAGCTGTGATGCCACAGCACTCTACCCAGGGTGACAGCTTGAGGCTCTGTCTAAAAAAAAAAAAAAAAATAGCTTAATGGGTTTTTTATAAAAAGGGATTTTTGGTTCAAGTAAGGATTATAATCACTTTAAATCTAAATTTTGCCTTGGTAGGCCAAGAAAAGAACAGAAAAATAAGAACTAGCTAAAATGGACATTTCAGGCATTTTTAGGGTCCCAAAGGTCCTTATAAATTAACCCTATATTAGGAAAAATGAGAAACTGTAGTTGAATATACCTTTATTTACAAAATATTCATTATAAAATTTTACAAAGATGTAACCAACACATAGAGAATACTTTGCAAATACTTGTGCACAAACATGTACATGGAAACAGACATGCCAAAGGTTTTCAGTGGTTATCTCAAGGTACAGAAATTTGGGATATTTATCATATTATTTTGTATTAAATTAAATATTCATAATTAATAGCTTTATTAGTTACAGAAAAATTCTGTTAACATTTTATAAAAAATATTCAGAAGAGTAAATCTGAAACAAAACTGAATACTGTATTCCCTGGGTAAAATAAGTGTCAAATGCCTATATTCTAAGCCAAGTCTCAGCTACTATTTGACTTTTTAATATGCATTAAAAGACCAAATTTAATTACATAACAGTAACTTACCGCAATAAGATCTTTATTATTAATTTCATCTTTCTGTAGTACTGTTCTTTCTTCCTTAATTATGCCTTTGGTTTCACCTTTTCCTGCTATTTGCCTCTGTCCAGCCCTTCTTACATTTGGTCTGGGTCTCTGAAGTCGACCTCTTATTGGGTGAGGACTTTGGATAACACTTTCTTTGACTTCTTCTTGGAAAGTGTTTATATTATGACTCCTAGAAAAGGGAACAAAAAGAAAGAAAGGGAGCTTGACTATAAAATGTTGAAAACCACTATAGAATTATAAAATTTTAATCTCTAATTACCTCTCTATAAAATATATGTATATATATCTTTTTTTGTAGAGACAGAGTCTCACTTTATCGCCCTCGGTAGAGTGCCATGGCCTCACACAGCTCATAGCAACCTCCAACTCCTGGGCTTAGGAGATTCTCTTGCCTCAGCCTCCCGATCACCTGGGACTACAGGCACCTGGCCATAACGCCTGGCTATTTCTTTTTTGCAGTTTGACCAGAGCCAGGTTTGAACCCGCCACCCTCAGTGTATGGGGCCAGTGCCCTACTCACTGTAGCCACTGGGCCACATATATTAAAGGAAAATTACCTTCTAGGTATAAACATATTTTATTTTAGAAAAGAAAATAGTTATTTTAATTCTCAAAAGGTAATAAACTTGTATAATGTACCTAAGTAGCCAAATCTCCAGAAAGAAAGTAGAATAGTGGTTGTCAGAAACATAAGAAGGGGTAATGGAGAATTAATGTTTAATTGGAACAGTTTCATTCTGAAACATAAAAAGCTCTGGAGATAGATGGTGGTGGTCATTGCACAACAATGAAAATGTACTATACATTAAAAAGAATTAAAACTGTAAATTATCAGAGTGACACCGGTAGCTCAGCAGCTAGGGCTAATAGCCACATACATCGGAGCTGGCAGGTTCAAATCCAACCCAGGCCTGCCAAACAACAATGACAACTACAACCAAAAAATAGCCAGGCGTTATGGCAGGTGCCTATAGTCCCAGCTACTTGGGAGGCTGAGGCAAAAGAATCACTTAAACCCAAGAGTTTGAGGTTGCTATGAGCTGATGCCACAACACTCTACTGAGGGCGATAAAATGAGACTCTGTCCCAAAAAAAAAAAAAAAAAAAAAAATTGTAAATTATCTGTCATAAATACATTTTATCAATTTTTAGAAGGGTATTAAATAGATAGCTTATATACACACAGATTCAGTATCCCTTACCCATAATGCTTAGGACCAGAAGTGCTTCAGATTTTTAATTTCTTTAAATTTTGAAAAATATGTGTTTGCATTTGTACTTACTAGTTGAGCATTCCTAATTTGAAAATTGGAAATGTTTCAATGAGCATTTCCTTTGCAAGTTACATAACCTCTTGAGAAGTTTCAAATTTTTGGCATGGCGCCCATAACTCAGTGGATAGGGCTCCACATACACCAAGTTTGGCAGGTTGGAACTCAGCCCAGGCCAGCTAAAACAACAATAACAACTGCAACAAAAAAATAGCCAGGTGCTGTGGTGGGCACCTGTGGTCCTTAGCTACTTGGGAGGATGAAGCAAGAGAACAGCTTAAGCCCAAGACTTAGAAGTTACTGTGAGCTGTGATGCCATGACACTCCACCCTGGGCAACAGCTTGAGACTCTGTCTCAAAAAAAAAAAAAGATGTTTCAAATTTTGGAGGAAGTTAGATTTTCAGACTAGAGACATTAAATCTGTATTTTCTTTTTTTTTTTTTTGAGACAGAGTCTAACTTTGTCATCCTCCAAAGAGTGCCACAGCATCATAGCTCATAGCAACCTCAACTTCTTTGGTTCACACAATCATCTTGCCTCAGCCTCCCAAGTAGCTAGGGCTACAGGCACAACACCCTGCTATTTTTAGAGACAGGGTCTTGCTCTTGCTCAGGCTGGTCTCCAACTCCTGACCTCAAGCAATCCACCTGCCTCAGACTCCCAGAGTACTAGGATTATAGGCGTGAGCCACCATGCCTGGCCACAACCCGTACTCTTTTAACATATTTACTTGGCATAGCATCTGAAGCAGCTGACAGCAAGGATAAGCAGGCAAGCATTAATAGGTGTTAGATTCAATCTGATTTTCTATTCTAGGCATTCTGCCATATCAATAAAATTAAACCAATTACATATACTCCTTACATTCACTTTCAAAATCCATTATCATATCTTAATTTAAAAACTCAAGAAATGTTTAAAAGAAGTGTCTCTCTTCTTTTAAAAGACATATTACTGTTTACCCTATAGAAACAACTAAATCATCTTCCTTGGCTTGTGTTAACAGAGACTCCTCTTTAGGTCCACAAGCATTTGAAGGTGAAAGGTCCTTTTCTGTCTGTGTACATGGTAATATCACAGTCTCCTCTTCCATTTGACCTGATGTGTCATCTTCTCTTGGTGCCATTAGGGAAGGATCATCCTATAAACAAACAAAAAAAATTCATTCAGAGTTGGTGAAAGTATAGGGAAATAAAAACTTTCATACACTATTAAAAGAAGAAATTGGTAAAGTCTTTGTAGAGATAAATAGGGTATTATCTACTAAAATCTTAAATTTCCCGCAATTCTACTGCTAGAAATTTATCTTATAAAAGTACTGAAATAAGTACCTAGAAAAGCATACACAAAGGCATTTATTGTACCAATTTAAGAACTTCTCCAACACATATAAAAGAAGAAATAAATAAAGACTTGGTGCAGCGGCTCACGCCTATAATCCTACTACGCTGGGAGGCCAAGGCAGGTGGATTGCTTGAGCTCGCGAGTTTGAAACCAGCCTGAGCAAGAGTAAAAATGAAAACTGAGCCAAATGGATTGCTTGAGCCCAAGACTTTGAGGTTTCTGTGACCTATGATGCCATACCATTCCAGCAATGGTGACAAAGTGAGACTCTGGCTCAAAAAATAAATAAATAAATAATTAGAAATGAGACAAATCAGTAGGGGACTGAATAAATCTCAATTTATTTATAATGCAATTAGTATATAGCCATTTCAAAGAAGATAAGTTTCTTTGTACTAATCCTAAAAAGATGTTCACAGTACTATGTTAAGTGGAAAAATCAAAAAGCAAGAAGTGATGCCATTTTAATAATAATAAAAAAAAACTTGCACATTTTATTATTTTATAAATAAGTATCTATACAAAAAAAGTATATAACAAAGGTGGCGGGTTTGAACCTGGCCTGGGCCAACTAAATAATAGCAACAACAACTAAAAAAAAAAAATAGGGCAAGGCCTGTGACTCAGTAGGTAGGGCACTGGCCCCATATACCTAGGTTGGCAGGTTCAAACCTGGCCCCAGCCAAACTGCAACAAAAAAAACAGCCAGGCGTTGTGGCGGGCACCTGTAGTCCCAGCTACTTGGGAGGCTGAAGCAAAAGAATCACCTAAGCCCAGGACCTGAAGGTTGCTGTGAGCTGTGACGCCACAGCACACTACCAACAGTGATAAAGTGAGACACTGTCTCTAAAAAATAAATTAATTTAATTTAATTTAATTTAATTTTAAAAAATAGTGAGGAGTTGTGGCAGGCACCTATAATCCCAGCTACTTGGGAGGCTAAGGCAAGAGAATCACTTAAGCCCAAGAGTTTGAGGTTGCTGTAAACTGTGACACCACGGCACTCTACCAAGGGCAATATAGAGCGACTCTGTCTCAAAAAAAAAGTCTAGGTAAATCTATTCAAAATTGGTATATGATTTAACTTGAAAGGAGGGATGGAAAATAAAGAAGTCTCAATTTTAAGAAGAGATACATTTGGGTGGCACCTGTAGCTCAGTGGGTAGGGTGCCAGCCAAATGCACCAAGGCTAGCGGGTTGGAACCCAGCTCAGGTGTGCTAAACAGGAATCACAACTGCAACAAAAAAACAGCCAGGCATTGTGGCAGGCACCTGTGGTCCCAGCTGGTTGGAAGGCTGAGGCAAGAGAATCACTTAAGCCCAGGAGTCTGAGATTGCTGTGAGCTGTGACATCATAGCACTCTACCCAGGGCAACATGGTGACATTCTGTCTCAAAAAAGAAAAGGAAGGCTCAGCACCTGTGGCTCAAGTGGCTAAGGCACCAGCCACATACACCTAAGGTGGTGGGTTCAAATCCAGCCTGGGCCCGCCAAACAACAATGATGGCTGCAACCAAAAAATAGCTGGGCATTGTGGTGGGTGCCTATAGTCCCAGCTACTTGGGAGGCGGAGGCAGGAGACTCACTTGAGCCCAGGAGTTGGAGGTTGCTGTGAGCTGTGATGCCACAGCACTCTACCCAGGGGGACAGCTTGAGGCTCTGTCTCCAAAAAAAAAAAAAAAAAAAAAGGAAAAGGAAAATATATAGATACATATGATTAGAAGTACAAATGCTGGCTGAGCACAATGAGTCACACCTGTAATCCAACACTCGGGGGGGCCAGGGCAGGTGGAGTGCCTGAGCTCAGGAGTTTGAGACCACCCTGAACAAGAATAAGGCCCCATCTCTATTAAAAATAGAAAAATTAGAAAAAAATTCCGAGCTACTTGGAAGACTAAGGCAAGAGGATTGCTTGAACCCAGAAGTTTAAAGTTGCGCTGAGCTATGATGACACCATAACACTCTAGCCTGGGTAACAGAGTAAGACTATGTCTCAAAAAAAAGTAAAATGTTGATGTGGATACACAGTAAGGAACTAACCTATTTAATATGGCAAAAAGAATTTTAATTCCAGGCAGGGTGCAGTGGCTCATGCCTGTAATCTTAGCACTCTAGCAGGCCAAGGTGGATGGACTGCCTGAGCTCACAGGTATAAGACCAGCCTGAGCCAGAAGGAGACCTTGTCTCTAAAAATAGCCAGGCATTACAGCAGGCCTCTGTAGTCCTAGCTACTCAGGAGACTGAGGCAAGAAGATTGCCTGAGCCCAAGAGTTTGAGGTTGCTGTGAGCTATGATGCCACCACACTCTATCCAGGGCAACACAAAGTGAGAGTCTGTCTCAAAAAAAAAAAAAAAAAAAAAAAATTTTTAACACCAGAAGGTACTTATATGTGGAAAACACATAACTTAGAAGTATTAATATTTGAAATCAAAGTTATTAATGTTATATCATACAAACTTAATCTCTTATGGACCAAGTTAATAAAATAAATAAAATAGCTCCTTTAACTCACATCAAGCTTTTAAGTTTTCATTTCAGTTTCACAACAAGGTGAAATAAAGGACTGTTATTCTCATTTTCCCTATGAAGACACTTGTTACATCATTTGCCTATGGTCACACAACCAGAACTTATAATAGATCGGAGTCCTCCTTACTGCTATCCCATGACACACTTGCCCATCATCAGATATCTAAGATTCTTACACAAACTGCGTGGAACAATGAAGCACGTTACACACAGGAACAATGCCACGTGGGGACAATGTTATGAAGAAATATTTATAATATTTTAAATTCATGTTTATTTTAGCAACCACAGTAACAAAAACTTGCACACACAGAACGTACATCTTAAATATCACTCACATGTTGAGAAGGGAGAGTATTAGTTGGTTCACTGTTCTGCTGTATCACAATAGTCTCCGTTTTATCAGTTTCAGATTTCTTCCCACATACATATTTTTTTGCTTCTACAGTCTCTCTCTTTGAAGCTGCTCTTGCTAAGTTTGGTGTTGGTCTTTTGAATCGACTTCTCACAAAAGGTGCTGGCTTAACTTCAAGTGGCTTCTGTTCTTGAGGAAGAGATTTGCTATTGGAACAAAGATTATCAAACTTAAGAATGAACTGGAAGGGCCCTGAGAACCAGTGTGTTAGGACAACCATACAGTTTGGCAGTAAACATTTAATTCTAATGCTTTCTTTTTTTTTTTTTTTCCCTTGAAACGCAGTCTCACTCTGTTGCCTGGTCTACAGTGCAGTAGCATCATCATAGTTCACTGCAACCTCAAACTCCTGGACTTAACCTGGGACTACAGGTGACCACCACTACATTGGACTAATGTTTTTCTATTTCTGGTAGAGACAGGGTCTCGGTCTTACTCAGGCTGGACTTAAACTCCTAAACTCAAGCAATCCTCTTGTCTCAGCCTCCGAGAATACTAGGATTACAGGCGTCAGCCACCATGCCCAGCCTTAATTCTCTTAACAGGAAAACAAAAGTAACTACTTGGTGAATCCTTAAAAACATGAGTGGTACAATCCAAGTATGAGCCAAGGAACCACACCATCTTTGTCCAGAGAAAATTCCAGTCTCAACCCTGTGTTGATTTTGAAGATTATATACAATTTTGTGTTGTTATTTTCACAATCAACTGTCAGAATGACCTCGATCCTCTCTCCCAGTATTTCCAAAACTGTTTTAAAATCAGTATGTGTGTTTTGGGTTTTTTTGGTAGAGACAGAATCTCGCTTTATTACCCTCAGTTCAGTGCCATGGCATCACAGCTCACAGCAACTTACAACTCCTGGGTTTAGGTGATTCTGTTGCCTCAGCCTCCCGAGTAGCTGGGACTATAGGTGCCCGCCACAATGCCCAGCTATTTTGTTGTTGTTGTTGCAGTCTGGCTGGGGCTGGGTTTGAACCCGCCACCCTTGGTATATGGGGCCAGTGCCCTACCCATTGATCCACAGGCGGTGCCCTCACTATGTGTTTTTTTTTTCTCCCCTTCCCCACAACCTCTCCTTCTATTCTTAAAAGAAAAAAAATAGGAAAGGAAAAAAAATTAAAATTGCTATGTGTATGTCATATCTTGAAACCTGACTTAGTTTAATCTGCAAATATCACTTTACACGGTTTTTTCTTTAGAAGCACACTTATACCTTAAATTAACATCTGAAAACTGCTCTGGAACATCTGGAGGTTGCATCACCAGGTCTTCTGTTTTATCAAATTCAGAAGTCTGTGAAGAAATCTTGAAGTGACTTGGTAAGTCCTTTTCAGAATTTCTTTTTTCTTCTACAGATGTATGCATCACCAATAGTACTTCACTGCTAATATTCTGAAGGAATAGTCACAGTGAACCAGCACATATGGAAGACTCTTATGTCATACATTTCAAACAAAACAAAAGCTACCACATTCTTCTATACACATCCCTTTAAAAATGTAGGGTCAGGGGGCAGTGCCCATGGCTCAGTAGGTAGTGCAATGGCCACATGCACCAGGGCTGGCGGGTTAGAACCCAGCCCCAGCCTGCTAAAAACAAAAAAATAGTCAGGCGTTGTGGCAGGTGCCTATAGTCCCAGTTACTAAGGTGGCTGAGGCAAGAGAATCACTTAAGTCTAAGAGTTTGAGGTTGCTGTGAGCTATGATGCCATGGCACTCTATGGAAAGCAACAAAGTCAGAAACTGTCTCAGAAAAAAAAACGTAGGGTCAGTTTTCAATTTTTTTTCAATTTCTTTTTTTTTATTCATTCATTCATTTATTTATTTTTTTTGAGACAGTCTCTCTATGCCACCCTTGGTAGAGTGTCATAGCATCACAGCTCACAGCAACCTCAAACTCTTAGACTCAAGTGATTCTCTTGCCTCAGTCTCCCAAGTCACTGGGACTACAAATGCCCGCCACAATGCCTGGCTATTTTTAAAGACACGGTTTTACTCTTGCTGAAGCTGGTCTCAAACCCCTAAGCACAGGCAGTCCACCCACCTCAGCCTCCCAGAGAGCTAGAATTACAGACGTGATTACAAACCACTGCGCTTAGCCTAAGTTTTCAATTTTTAAATAAAATTTACTTGCAAATGTAATTAAAACCTAGAATTGAGGAACTTTTTCTTTTATACTGCATATTATGACTTTTTCTAACCACAAATGACATTACCTATTAGGAAAAAGTCCTTGAAAAAAGTTATAAAAGCATGAACTTCAAGAAACTGGAAATTTTAATGAAAGGAACTTTTAGAAAGAGTTAAATGCAGCAGGGCAGGAAATGAAAAGAGAAACAAATACAGTTAAGGCCAAAAAAAACCCTTCTAGTATGTTCATACTACAGTTACTACAATTTCAGTCCATTTCCTATACTCTTTTTATCTAAAAGAGTCACTTCAAACTGACATTACAGGGCAGCACCTGTGGCTCAGTGAGTAGGGTGCCCGCCCTATATACTGAGGATGGCGGGTTCAAACCCAGCCCCTGCCAGCTAAAACAGCAGTGGCAACTGCAACAAAAATAGCCAGGCGTTGTGGTGGGCACCTGTGGTCCCAGCAACTCGGGAAGCTGAGGAAAGAGAATAGCCTAAGCCAATTGCTGGAGGTTGCTGTGAGCTGTGATGTCACAGCACTCTACCAAGGGGCAACAAAGTGAGACTGTCTCTACAAAAAAAAAAACTGGCATTACAGTAGTCACATCTCAGCCCAGGCACAGTGGCTCATACCTGTAATCCTAGCACTTTGGGAGCCAAAGTAGGAAGACTGCTTGAGCTCAGGAGTCAAGACCAGCCTGAACAAGAGCAAGACCCTATCTCTACAAAAAATAAAAAAATCAGACAGGCATGGTGGGGCATGGCTGTAGTCTCAGTTACTGGGGAGGCTGCGGCAGGAGGATTGCTTGAGCCCCAGAGTATGAGGTCGGAGTGAGCTATGACAATGCCACTGTGCTCTAGCCAAGATGACAGAGTGAGACTCTGTCTTTAAAAAAAAAAGTCTCTTTCCCGTCTTGCAAGATGGTGGGTGAAAAAGTTGAGAAGCTGGTTTCTAAAGAGAAAAAACAAGCTTCTAAAGAGAAGAAACCAGCTTCTAAAGAGAAGAAGCCTGTTAATAAAAAGAAGAAGCCTAAGGCCAAGAAGGGGATGCCCCACTGCAGCCGAAATCCTGTTCTGGTCAGAGGAATAGGCAGATATTCCTGATCTGCCATGTATTCCAGAAAGGCGATGTATAAGGGGAAATACACACAGCAGCTAAATCCAAGATTGAAAAGAAGAAGACGGCGAAGGTCCTCGCCACTGTTACAAAACCAGTTGGTGGGGACAAGAATGGTGGTACTCGGGTGGTTAAACTCGCAAAATGCCTAGATATTATCCCACCAAAGATGTGCCTCGAAAGCTGTTGAGCCAGGGCAAAAAACCATGTAGTCAGCATGTGAGAAAACTGCGATCTAGCATCACACCTAGGACCATTCTAATTATCCTCACTGGGCACCACAGAGGCAAGAGAGTGGCTTTCCTAAAGCAACTGGGCAGTGGCTTGCTACTTGTGACTGGACCTCTGTCCTTCAATGGAGTTCCTTTATGAAGGGCACACCAGAAATTTGTCATCGCCACCCACCACAAAAATTGACATCAGTAATGTTAAAATCCCAAAGCATCTTACTGATGCTTATTTCAAGAAGCAGCAGCTCCGGAAGCCCAGACACCAGGAAGGTGAGATCTTTACCACAGAAAAAGAGAAATACAAGATAACAGAACAGCGCAAGGTTGATCAAAAAACTGTGGACTCGCAAATTTTACTGAAAATCAAGGCTATTCCTCAGCTCCAGGGCTACCTGCGATCCATGTTTGCCCTGACAAATGGAGCTTACCCTCATAAAATGGTGTTTTAAATTTCTTAAAAAGAACCTAATTAAATGGCTAAAAGATTTTTGAAAAAAAAAAAAAAAA